CAGTAGACTGTATTGTTTAATATTCAGTAGACTGTATAGTTTAATACACAGTAGACTGTATAGTTTAATATTCAGTAGACTATAGTTTAATATTCAGTAGACTATTGTTTAATATTCAGTAGACTGTACAGTTTAATATTCAGTACACTGTATAGTTTAATATCCAGTAGACTGTATAGTTTAATATACAGTAGACTGTATAGTTTAATGTACAGTAGACTGTATAGTTTAATGTACAGTAGACTGTATTGTTTAAAGTAGACTGTATTGTTTAATATTCAGTAGACTATAGTTTAATATTCAGTAGACTGTATAGTTTAATATTCAGTAGACTGTATAGTTTAATATCCAGTAGACTGTATAGTTTAATATTCAGTAGACTGTATAGTTTAATACACAGTAGACTCTGTATAATTTATGATGAATGTATTTTGTCTCTGACAACTAAACTTCACCATCAGTCACACCACATGTTTTCGGTTCACAGAATAAACCTTCAAATCAGACAAATTAAATTTAAATGTCAGGGCGTCGTGGCTTAGTGGTGGAGCTGGCGCCCCATGTACGGGGCTGTGGCCCTTTGCTGCATGTCATCCCCCCTCTCTCTGTCCCCCCTTCACGCTTGCCTGTCCTGTCCAATAAAGGCAGAATGCCCTAGAAAATATCTTTAAAAAATTAAATTTAAATCTCTGAAATTCAACAAAAAATAAAAGTTTATCTAAAGTATCATCTTGTTGAGTCGACATCTGAACCAATCAGTTGTTAGATCAGGTGAGAGCCAGGAGGTGAAGTCAGAGGAGAGCAGCTGCAGCGCCTGGCTCTAAAAACTGCAGCCGCCTTGCTCTTGCCATTTTATTGCCATCCACTTTTGTAATACGTCAGAGCAAGTCCGGATGAAGTCGGACACCAAACTAACCAGCATGCATTGTGCACTGATCTCCGGTGATCAAATCTGCGCAGGCCTGGCCCATCTTGAATGAGCCTCATGTCATGTGGTGGGAGGCGGGGCTTCTCCTTAGGTATAAGACTTTAAAATAACACTCCAAGAAATAGTCAGTACCTGCGGTGTCTCTCCAGTAAAACACAGCTGCTGCTGTTTTTCATCTTCATCTTTCTTTCCCTCAGACCTTCATCCTCCTCTTCATCAGGTGAGGCAGCAGTCAGCAGAGCGTCTGAGTCGATGGTGGACAGAATCTGACCTGCAGGACCGGAAACAGGACATGGACCAGGTCCAGTTCTGGTCTCTGTAAAGTGTTTCTGTCTGTCAGTTGACATCCTGCCGGTCCTGGGTCACAACCTGGATCAGAACTTGGAACCAGCAAACACCAGGAGTACATCAGAACCTGCAGAACATAAGCTACATGATCTCAAAGGAAACAGACTCAGTATCTGACAATGACGTCAGTATAAATTAGTTTTTAACAGGTTACTGTTTGAAACATTTAAAGACATCGTTGTGACAGAATTACACACACACACACACACACACACACACACACGTTTATAGACATGATCCTTTGTGTGTGTGTGTGTGTGTGTGTGTATTTGATATATGATGTTAAATGTGTGTCAGAGTACCTGAGTGAATTCGATCCTCCTGAGTCTGAGTTTGCTGCTGGTCTGAGCCTCACCTGTAGACTAGCCTCACCTGTCCTCCAGGTGGAAACACTCCCTGACTTCAGGATGTCTCCTTGACAACAGAGGAAACTTCTTTAACCCTTTAATGACCAAATGTTTTCAGTGGAGATCTGAGGTCAGAAATAAAATCAGGAGTTAGTCACTGATACACAAATCAACAGGAAATCAGTCAATAATCAATTAAGTCTGACTGGATCATTTTAAATACTGAAGCTTCGGATGAACAGGAAGATTACTGATTAATTCAGAAGTATACAGGATCAGGTCCAGGATCAGATCCAGGATCAGGATCAGGATAATCAATATAAATAAAGTTATTGATAATTGAAATCTGTCCTCCAGGATACACTGAACTGTCCAATCATGTCTGAGCAGGTCATCTGACTGCTGAAGGTCAAAGGTCATCAGGAATAAAAATAATAAGTTTCATTTACATGATAATATTTTGTTTAAATTGTCAGTGCAGAGAGCTGATCAATAATTGATAAATGTTACAGATCAGTAACAAATAAAGCTTATTGAACAATAACTGATTAAGGTTACTGATCAATGCTGGTTATAAACTCAGTTAAATAAACTGATCAGGTGATTATTAAATATTGATATTCTAACAATCACAGCTTACCTTTAAAGCCTTGTCATAATTTGAATTCGGATGCTACAGTTAAAGCTTGACCTTGGTTAGTAGAGGGAGGCAAAATAATGGGCCTGACCCCGGACCCTTACTGACTCCAGCAGATAAACATAGATAGATAAATATACTCAAGGGTGATTTATTTTTATCATGCGCCCCACCCCAAATGAAAACACATACAAAAAAAAAAAAGTTGAAAAACACAAAAAGATATTCGGCACAATGTCCCCTTTAATAATAATTGTCCTCATCCAAGTAAATCCCAGTGCAAAAGGAGAGTCCATTGTCTGATTGCTTAAAAATGAAAAAACAGGCTCCAGGAAAAAACAATGCATTGCCAAAAATGAAAAATGTTGAGGAAAAAGAGGGATCACACTCACCAGGGTGGAATAAACAAAAACAATCTGGTCCTACTCAGAGGATGGGTCTGTTTCTTTCTGGTCCTCCACAGAAACACTCTCGAGGAAACACCAAAAACATGGGACGTAGAAAACTTCATCCAAGGCAGGCTGTCACCACCGCAACTCTGTTCCCCTTCCTCTTTCCCACACGAAATTAAAAAAGAACCCTCCCCAAACAATTCCCTGCCACGCCCCTTCACCTGGGTGCAAACACACCTGAACACAGTTAACTCCCAGGAGGAACAAGATTAGAGCAGGGGTGAGGGGAGGACACTGGAAGACACACAACAGATTATATTAGAAGGCTAGTCTGTTGTTTTTTTTAAACCCTTGAGCAATCTGATGTAGCATGACTCTCCCCTCACCTTTGTGGCGGTGTCACAATGTCACATTACATGTTTCAGATTTTCTTTTTCCTTAAAATGAACTACAACTCCCAGTATGCGTCTCACCAACAAACAGCCAATCACAGAGCTCCAGTGCTTCGACTAAGTCGACGAATCAAATCAAACTTTGAATGAAATTTATTGAAATCTTTCTTCCTGACAGACTGAAAACACAAATGACTGTAAAATCATACAAATTAAACTTTATTCAAACATCTTTGTACATACACAGTCCATCAACAGGTAAACAGGAAGTATTTGTTTACATGCGACACGTGTCGTGAAACGCCTCGAGTGTCCTAAAGTCTCGCCATGTTGGAGGAAGTCCGTCCTGCAGGAAACGACCACAGCGCTGACACGGAGACTGGAAGAGTTTGATGTAGCTCCGCAACCACGTCTGAGGACAGGTGGAGACAGACAGATGAAAAGACACACAGGTGGAGACAGACAGGTGGAGAGACAGAGACAGGTGGAGAGACAGACAGATGAGGAGACAGCCAGGTGAAAAGACACACAGGTGGAGACAGACAAGTGGAGAGACACACAGGTGGAGACAGACAGGTGGAGAGACAGACAGATGAAGAGACAGACAGGTGAAAAGACACACAGGTGGAGACAGCCAGGTGGAGAGACAGACAGGTGAGGAGGCAGAGACAGGTGGAGACAGAGAGAGACAGACAGGTGGAGAGACAGACAGGTGAGGAGGCAGAGACAGGTGGAGACAGAGTCAGACAGACAGGTGGAGAGACAGACAGGTGAGGATGCAGAGACAGGTGGAGAGACAGCCAGGTGGAGACACAGACGGGTGAGGAGGCAGACAGGTGAAGAGACAGACAGGTGGAGAGACAGCCAGGTGGAAAAACAGACAGGTGAGGAGACAGACAGGTGAAGACACAGACAGGTGGAGACACAGACAGGTGAGGAGGCAGAGACAGGTGGAGAGACAGACAGGTGGAGAGGCAGAGACAGGTGGAGACAGAGACAGACAGACAGGTGAAGAAACAGACAGGTGGAGAGACAGCCAGGTGGGGAGACAGACAGGTGGAGAGACAGACAGGTGGCGAGACAGAGACAGGTGGAGACATAGACGGGTCAGGAGGCAGACAGGTGAAGAGACAGACAGGTGAAGAGACAGCCAGGTGGAGACACAGACAGGTGAGGAGGCACAGACAGGTGGAGAGACAGACAGGTGAAGAGACAGCCAGGTGGGGAGACAGCCAGGTGGAGACACAGACAGGTGAGGAGGCACAGACAGGTGGAGACAGAGTCAGACAGACAGGTGGAGAGACAGACAGGTGGAGACACAGACAGGTGAGGAGGCAGAGACAGACAGACAGGTGAAGAGACAGACAGGTGGAGAAACAGACAGGTGAGGATGCAGAGACAGGTGGAGAGACAGAGACAGGTGGAGACAGAGACAGACAGACAGGTGAAGAAACAGACAGGTGGAGAGACAGCCAGGTGGGGAGACAGACAGGTGGAGAGACAGCCAGGTGGAGAGACAGCCAGGTGGCGAAACAGAGACAGGTGGAGACACAGACGAGTGAGGAGGCAGACAGGTGAAGAGACAGCCAGGTGGAGACACAGACAGGTGAGGAGGCACAGACAGGTGGAGAGACAGACAGGTGAAGAGACAGACAGGTGGGGAGACAGCCAGGTGGAGACACAGACGGGTGAGGAGGCACAGACAGGTGGAGAGACAGACAGGTGAAGAGACAAACAGGTGGGGAGACAGCCAGGTGGAGACACAGACAGGTGGAGACAGAGTCAGACAGACAGGTGGAGACACAGACAGGTGGAGACACAGACAGGTGAGGAGACTGAGTCAGACAGACAGGTGGAGAGACAGACAGGTGAAGACACAGACAGGTAGAGAGACAGACAGGTGGAGACACAGACAGGTGAGGATGCAGAGACAGGTGGAGAGACAGACAGGTGGAGACACAGACAGGTGAGGAGGCAGACAGGTGAAGAGACAGACAGATGAAGAAACAGACAGGTGGAGACACAGACAGGTGAGGAGGCACAGACAGGTGGAGAGACAGAGACAGGTGGAGAAACAGACAGGTGAGGAGGCAGAGACAGGTGGAGAGACAGACAGGTGGAGAGACAGAGACAGGTGGAGACAGAGACAGACAGACAGGTGAAGAAACAGACAGGTGGAGAGACAGCCAGGTGGGGAGACAGACAGGTGGAGAGACAGCCAGGTGGAGAGACAGAGACAGGTGGAGACATAGACGGGTCAGGAGGCAGACAGGTGAAGAGACAGACAGGTGAAGAGACAGCCAGGTGGAGACACAGACAGGTGAGGAGGCACAGACAGGTGGAGAGACAGACAGGTGAAGAGACAGCCAGGTGGGGAGACAGCCAGGTGGAGACACAGACAGGTGAGGAGGCACAGACAGGTGGAGAGACAGACAGGTGAAGAGACAGACAGGTGGGGAGACAGACAGGTGGAGAGACAGACAGATGAACTCACAGACAGGTAGAGAGACAGACAGGTGGAGACACAGATAGGTGAGGAGGCACAGACAGGTGGAGAGACAGACAGGTGAAGACACAGACAGGTAGAGAGACAGACAGGTGGAGACACAGACAGGTGAGGATGCAGAGACAGGTGGAGAGACAGACAGGTGGAGAGACAGCCAGGTGGAGACACAGACGGGTGAGGAGGCAGACAGGTGAAGAGACAGACAGGTGGAGAGACAGCCAGGTGGAGACACAGACAGGTGAGGAGGCAGAGACAGGTGAAGAGACAGCCAGGTGGAGACACAGACAGGTGGGGAGACAGCCAGGTGGAGACACAGACAGGTGGGGAGACAGCCAGGTGGAGACACAGACAGGTGGGGAGACAGCCAGGTGGAGACACAGACGGGTGAGGAGGCAGAGACAGGTGGAGACAGAGTCAGACAGACAGGTGGAGAGACAGACAGGTGGAGACACAGACAGGTGAGGAGACAGAGTCACACAGACAGGTAGAGAGACAGACAGGTGGAGACACAGACAGGTGGAGAGACAGACAGGTGAAGAGACAGACAGGTGGGGAGACAGACAGGTGGAGACACAGACGGGTGAGGAGGCAGAGACAGGTGGAGACAGAGTCAGACAGACAGGTGGAGAGACAGACAGGTGGAGACACAGACAGGTGAGGAGACAGAGTCACACAGACAGGTAGAGAGACAGACAGGTGGAGACACAGACAGGTGGAGAGACAGACAGGTGAAGAGACAGACAGGTGGGGAGACAGACAGGTGGAGAGACAGACAGATGAACTCACAGACAGGTAGAGAGACAGACAGGTGGAGACACAGATAGGTGAGGAGGCACAGACAGGTGGAGAGACAGACAGGTGAAGACACAGACAGGTAGAGAGACAGACAGGTGGAGACACAGACAGGTGAGGATGCAGAGACAGGTGGAGAGACAGACAGGTGGAGAGACAGACAGGTGGAGAGACAGACAGGTGGAGACACAGACAGGTGAGGAGGCAGAGACAGGTGGAGAGACAGACAGGTGGAGAGACAGACAGGTGGAGACACAGACAGGTGAGGAGGCAGAGACAGGTGGAGAGACAGACAGGTGGAGAGACAGACAGGTGGAGAGACAGACAGGTGGAGACACAGACAGGTGAGGAGGCAGAGACAGGTGGAGAGACAGACAGGTGGAGAGACAGACAGGTGGAGAGACAGACAGGTGGAGACACAGACAGGTGAGGAGGCAGAGACAGGTGGAGAGACAGACAGGTGGAGAGACAGACAGGTGGAGACACAGACAGGTGAGGAGGCAGAGACAGGTGGAGAGACAGACAGGTGGAGAGACAGACAGGTGGAGACACAGACAGGTGAGGAGGCAGAGACAGGTGGAGAGACAGACAGGTGAAGAGACAGACAGGTGGGGAGACAGCCAGGTGGAGACACAGACAGGTGGGGAGACAGCCAGGTGGAGACACAGACAGGTGGGGAGACAGCCAGGTGGAGACACAGACGGGTGAGGAGGCAGAGACAGGTGGAGACAGAGTCAGACAGACAGGTGGAGAGACAGACAGGTGGAGACACAGACAGGTGAGGAGACAGAGTCAGACAGACAGGTAGAGAGACAGACAGGTGGAGACACAGACAGGTGGAGAGACAGCCAGGTGGAGACACAGACGGGTGAGGAGACAGACAGGTGAAGAGACAGACAGGTGGAGACACAGACAGGTGGAGACACAGACAGGTGAGGAGGCAGAGACAGGTGAAGAGACAGCCAGGTGGAGACACAGACAGGTGAGGAGGCACAAACAGGTGGAGAGACAGAGACAGGTGGAGAAACAGACAGGTGAGGAGACAGAGAAAGGTGGAGACAGAGACAGGTGGAGAAACAGACAGGTGAAGAAACAGACAGGTGAAGAGACAGACAGGTGAAGATACAGACAGGTGAGGAGGCAGAGACAGGTGGAGAGATAGACAGGTGGAGAGGCAGAGACAGGTGGAGACAGAGACAGACAGACAGGTGAAGAAACAGACAGGCGGAGAGACAGCCAGGTGGGGAGACAGACAGGTGGAGAGACAGCCAGGTGGAGAGACAGACAGGTGGCGAGACAGAGACAGGTGGAGAGACAGACAGGTGGAGACACAGACGGGTGAGGAGGCAGACAGGTGAAGAGACAGACAGGTCGAGACACAGACAGGTGAGGAGGCACAGACAGGTGGAGAGACAGACAGGTGGAGAGACAGCCAGGTGGAGACACAGACAGGTGAGGAGGCAGAGACAGGTGTAGAGTCAGACAGGTGGAGAGACAGACAGGTGAGGATGCAGAGACAGGTGGAGAGACAGACAGGTGGAGAGACAGACAGGTGGAGACACAGACAGGTGGAGACAGAGAGGTGAGGAGGCAAACAGGTGAAGAGACAGACAGCTGGAGAGACAGACAGGTGGAGACACAGACAGGTGAGGAGGCAGAGACAGGTGAAGACACAGACAGGTGAAGAGACAGCCAGGTGGAGAAACAGACAGGTGAGGAGACAGAGGAAGGTGGAGACAGAGACAGGTAGAGAAACAGACAGGTGAAGACACAGACAGTTGGAGACACAGACAAGTGAGGAGGCAGAGACAGGTGGAGACAGACAGGTGGAGAGGCAGAGACAGGTGGAGACAGAGACAGACAGACAGGTGAAGAAACAGACAGGTGGAGAGACAGCCAGGTGGAGAGACAGACAGGTGAGGAGGCAAAGACAGGTGGAGACAGAAGGGTGAGGAGACAGATAGATGGAGAGACAGACAGGTGAGGAGCCACAGACAAGTGGAGCCAGAGACAGGTGGAGAAACAGACAGGTGAGGAGACAGAGACAGGTGAGGAGACAGAGACAGGTGAGGAGACAGAGACAGGTGGAGAGACAGACAGGTGGAGAGACAGAGACAGGTGGAGAAACAGAGACAGGTGGAGAAACAGACAGGTGAAGAGACAGACAAGTGGAGACACAGAGAGGTGGAGAGACAGACAGTGATGGTGTCTCACCATGAATGATCGAACCACGACGTCGGGCATCTGGGGCAGCTGGTAGTGCAGCAGGGCGGTGGTGGCGTGGTCTGTTACCTAGCAACAACACAACCAATCAGAGTTTTGCACACTGAGCTCAGGTGTGAAGGAGCTCAGGTAAGGACAGGTGAGTCTTACCTTCTGGAACACCTGGTACTGAGACTTGGTCCAGATGTCCAGCTGATGAGGACAGACAGGTTAGAGAGGGGACAGAAAAACAGACAGGTTAGAGTTGAGAGAGTCAGACAGGTATCAGGGGTCACCTGTCAGGTGAGTTTGACCTCCTACCTTTCCGTCCTCGTTGTAAATATTCTCGTTGTATCCTCGAACAACCGTCCTGTCAATGAACAACGAACGCATCACAACGATTGCCTTCAACACCTTCCCCAGGGTCACCTGAGAGGGATGTATGTCAGAGAGACACCTGTTACCTGGTCTGAATACACCTGTTACCTGGTCTGAACACATACACCTGTTACCTGGTCTGATCACACACACCTGTTACCTGGTCTGAATACATACACCTGTTACCTGGTCTGAACACACACCTGTTACCTGGTCTGAACACACCTGTTACCTGGTCTGAACACACACCTGTTACCTGGTCTGAACACACCTGTACAGTGTGTGTTGTCATGTGTTTTATTACCAGCAGCACAGCCGACGTCCCGTTGGGTCTGAACAGCTCGATGGTCATATCAGGAAACATCCGGCCGATCCGAGAGATAACATCATCCACATACCTGTCCACAGAGAAACAGGATGTGATGTCACAGAGGTGATGTCATGGGGGGTCATCAGGTGAGTAAACCATCGGTGGAACAGTGACGATTCAGTGCGTCGGGGCGGTGAAGATGTTTCAGCGGTATGTAGTAAAACTTTAACTTCACCTGTACGTCACAAACATTTCAGTAGGAATCTGTGATTCTTTAATATTTGTTCGTACTAACCGAACGTCGTAGACCAGCCTCAGACCGTACAATGATGGGCCAGCTCTCTCAGAAAATGTTAAGACACTTTTTTACTAAATGGAAAAACATATTCAAACTGAACTTATTTAAACAGACTGTAATATTTAAAAGTATTTATTTACTAATTTACTGATGTTTGAACCCATGTCATCATTACTGTGACATTAAAATATTCAAATATAAAGAGTGAGTTTTCCAGTCGGAGCTGACTTCTTCCACTGAACTATAATGATGGTACTGCACTGCTAGGGTCCTAAGGACAGAGGGGTGTCATATGCTGTAAAGCCCTGTGAGGCTAATTGTGATTTGTGATATTATAAATAAAATTGATTGATTGATTGATTGTAGTCACTGTAGTTACTATAGTAGTTACTGTAGTAACTGTAGTAACTGTAGTTACTGTAGTACTCACTGAGGGGGAGCTGTAGTTACTGTAGTTCCTGTAGTACTCACTGAGGAGGAGCTGTAGTTACTGTAGTTACTGTAGTACTCACTGAGGGGGGGCTGTAGTTACTGTAGTTCCTGTAGTACTCACTGAGGGGGAGCTGTAGTTACTATAGTACTCACTGAGGAGAAGCTGTAGTTACTGTAGTTCCTGTAGTACTCACTGAGGGGGAGCTGTAGTTACTGTAGTACTCACTGAGGAGGTGCTGTAGTTACTGTAGTTACTGTAGTACTCACTGAGAAGGAGCTGTAGTTACTGTGGTTACTGTAGTACTCACTGAGGAGGAAGTACCAGAGTACTGGGTTGGACTTTGGGTCGTCTCTTGGCTGAAGCTCCCATCTGATTGGCCGATCGTTTGAGTGACTGTTGATTCAACAAACTGGAAGCCAAACCGGCATGGTACTGCAACTACACACAGATACACACACAGATTCACAATCATCGTCATGGTAACAACACATAAGCTAAATTCACACATTGTAAAGTTATTTGTTAACGAACCGGAGATCATCTTCCAGACAGGAAGTGACATCATACTCTGTCACAATAACACCAAACTGTGACTTTCCTCAGAAAAAAATTTATACACATTCATCAGGTTAATCAATCAATCAATCAATCAATTTTATTTATAAAGCCCAATAATACAAATCACAGTTTGCCTCACAGGGCTTTACAGCATACGACATCCCTCTGTCCTTATGACCCTCACAGCTGATCAGGAAAAACATTAACATTAACGTAAGCCTTACTAACGTAATCGTTGTGATGTCATCAGAACAACTGACTCACGTTAACATTAACATTGATGTCACGTCATCAGAACGAATGAATCATGTTAACGTTTTTTTAAACGTGATGAAAACTTAACGTTAACGTCACATCATCAGAATTAATGAACCATGTAAGTGTTATTTTTAACATGATGAAAACTTAACATTAATATTGTCACATCATCAGAACGAATGAACCATGTTAACGTTATCTCTCTCTTTTTTTTAAGATATTTTTCCGGGCATTTTAGCCTTTAATTGACAGGACAGGTGAGTGTAAAAGGGGGAGAGAAAGAGAGAGAGAGGGAGTGACATGCAGCAAAGGGCCACGGGCTGGATTCGAACCCGGGCCGCTGCGGCAACAGCCTTGTACATGGGGCGTCTGCTCTATCCATTAACCCACCAACGCCCCAACGTAAACGTGATGAAAACTTATCGTTAATGTTGCCACATCATCAGAATGAATGATCCATGTTAGCGTTATCTTTAACATGATGAAAACTTAACGTTAACATTGTCACGTCATCAGAATGAATGATCCATGTTAGCATTATCTTTAACATGATGAAAAATTAATGTTAACGTTGTCACGTCATCAGCACAAATGAATCACAGCTGGAGACCAGACGATCGATCAGGATCAATAACAGGTCGATAAACACTGATTAGTGTATTTCCTGTGTCTGACACTGATGATGTCTGGCTCCTCCCACAGACACCTGTACCTAAGCATCACCTGTAAGGAGCTAACGTGTTAGCCTGTTAGCATGCTCACCTTGTTAGACCACTTGTAGGCCTGCAGCAGCTGAGAGTATAGAGGGGTTTTATCCTGGACCGGATCCAGACTGAGCAGACCGCTGTTATGGAGGGGATGAGACTCTGAGGGACGTCCCACCAGACCGCTGAGACGCTCCAACTCACTGAGACACAGAGACAGAGACAGAGATAGAGACAGACACACAGACAGTGAGACAAGTTATTTATCAGAGCTGTGATGTGAATCAGTCACACAGCTGACAAACAGCAACACTCCCACTTCTTGTTTTTACCCAAGGAAACTGTAACAGAGGTATCTGTTTCTATATCTATAGTTATAGATATAGAAACAGATACATACAAACATACAACATATACATTTCATACATGACGTTTAACACATTTAACATTAAGGTCTATATAATTTAAAATCAGTAGATATTTGACTATAATCTGCAGCTGCTGCTGTGTGTCCTTAAATAGAGTAAAATCTGACTGGGCTTTGGTGTGACTGTGACTCTGAGTTTAAATCATTATAATTAAAACCACTTCATATCAGATTGTAGTCTGCAGCCGCGGTGCAGTTATACTGACTAAAACCTGAATGAGGTTTGGTGTGTGGGACTCACTTGAGGTCTCTGTTCACCGCCTGCAGGTTGTCCTGGAACTCGGCTATAAACTGCTTCTCCCGGCCCTCCAGGGTCTCCCGGTTCTTCATGCCGTCCTTCAGGGACTCGAATACTCGGCTCACGCTGGAGCGGAGCGCCTGGATGCCGCTGATGGCGTGAGAGAAGGCGTCCAGATTCACCCCGACATTCACCACGTCCGCCATCTTTGCTGCTTCTCCTCTGTCTGCTGCTGGCGCTCAGTGATGACGTCACGGAGCCGGTTTTTTTTCACAATGTTTTATTTGCAAATATGAGGTTTAACAAACAAATGACAGAAAATCATTGAACACTGAACAGACCAGGGGTACTAGAGTTCATTGCCAGACCTTTCAAAACTCAAATGCACAGTCTTTAACAGGTTGAGTCTTTGCAGCTTTGTTGTTGTTAACACATTCAAGTGTGGTGCCATACTGCTGGAGTTCAACAATGAAACGACGAAAACAGGGTTTAGAGCCAGACCATTTTGATTTGTGTATATGAAACTTTCCAAGAATAATTAGAAGTTGTATTATGTAGGCAGTGTTGTTCTCCATCCTACTGGAAATAAAATATAGCATCACATCAAACACAGTAAGATTCACAGTAGTGTTCATTTTCTCATTTACAAAGTCTTGCATATCATTCCAAAACTTCTTTGAATGGTGACAATGATAAAACAGATGAAATATTGTTTCTTTGTCCACATTACAGAAAGTACAAGAATAGTCTATGTTTAACTTAAATCTCTCCAAGACCTCCTTAGCGGGATAAATTCGGTGTAACACTTTGTAAGATACTTCTTTCACTTTATTACTACTGCAATATTTATTTAAAACACTACAGGCTTTTTTCCACTGTAAACTGCTCATGATAGACAACCAGAAGAATTTCGCTGCAGGGGCTACAGTGTAGTTCAATGCGTTTCTAATGTGTCTGTTACTGCAAGGTTTATCTTGAATATTGATACCTCCAACAAAAATCTGCCTAGAACTAAATGAGTTGGTTTCTGTGAGGTTACAGTTCTTTAAAAATAGAAGTGAACCGGCAGGAATTGCATTGAAGATAACAGCGTATTCTTTAGGTGTGATTGTTATCTTGAATTTCTGAATAAATTCTGAATCTGACACTAACACACCATTCTTATTTAATAATTGGCATACAAGCAAAATTCCATTGTCATACCATGAGCGATAAAACAGGGATTTTCTTTTGTGTAGAATATCCTTGTTATTCCAAACATAGTACAGATGAGGACTGAAGGTGTGCTTATAAACTAATAACCACACTAAGAGAGCTTGCTTGTGAAAATTAGCTAAACTAACTGTGATTTTATCAATGGAGAAATTGCATTTTAATAAAAAATCAATGCCACCAATCGAATTAAATAAATATGATGGGAAAGCATACCATATACTGTCGGGATTCTTTAGGAATTCAATAAGCCATTTAACTTTAAATGTATTATTTAATAAACTCAAGTCCAAGTCCTCAAGACCACCTTGTTCCCTACTACCTTTGATTGTTTCTTTTTTGAGATAATGGGTTTTTTTCCTCTAAATGTAGTCATACAGCATCTTATTCAGTTGTTTAATAACATTTGTTGGGACATTAAGTGATAATGATACATAGACAGATCTAGATATACCTTCTGTTTTTGATAGCAAGACCCTTATAAGGATATATCTCTCATTAACCATGAGTTCAATTTTGACTTTTGTTTTTTCAATAATGGGATCAAAATTGACTTTACTTCACTGTTCCGCATCATTGCAGATAACAACCCCAAGGTAGGTTACCTTTTCTTTAATTGGAATCCCATGATAGCTTGACAAATTACAACTTCTAATTGGAAATAAGACAGATTTATCCAAGTTCATCTTTAAACCAGAAACATTCATTCCAGTCATTACCAGGATATTTGTTTTGTCTAAGGGATTTAATACATTCACTAATTTCAGCCAATGATATCTCCTCTTCACATGAGACTCTAAGATCATTATTTATTTTTCTTGAATCTGCTGAAATATTGTCTAAAAATGGTTCAATATGGGAGGGTGTAAAGGTTGATGAATATAAATCTTGATAAAATTGAGCTACATGTTAAGAGATTATTTTAGGATCATCAGAGATTGTGCCATTGATAATAAATTTACTGCTGCAAATTCTGCATTTCTTTTTTCTAAACTAAAAAAATATTTAGTATTTTTCTCACCTTGCTCAAGCCATTTGCATCCTGATCTAATAAAAGCACTTCTAGTTTTCTCTTCATAAATATTTTATAATTGGCTTTCTAACTTATTCAAATTCATCATCTCTTCATTAGTTAAATCATTACAGTTTTTTGTTTGCAGATTCAAAATATCTCTGATAGTCTCAATTTCTTTCTGTTTTTTTCTAATTTGCTATGAATTTACATTTTTTTTAAGTGCAGCTCTTTGAATATCATATTTCAATAGTTCCCAAAAGTATCTCATGGAGTATCTTTTAAATCCACATTTTAGACTAAAAGAAAAACAATAGATGTAAAAAAAAAAAAAAAAAAAAAAAAAAAAAAAAAAAGTAATTAAAAAAAAGAACATCTGTAAAATAAATAGATAAATAATGAATGAATAATTAAATAACGCTGAAGTAAAAAAAAAAAGATCTGAAAAAGACGTGTTGTTTTGAATTATGTACAACAGATATAACTTATATACAGTAATAATATTAAGTCACTTATTAAACAACATATCTGAAACTCTGTAATAATGTTGAATTAATTTAATAGTAATTTAAGGGAAAAGACTCAGACAGGTGTTGGTAAAACTTTTTTTAAGAATAAAAACAAGATTATTTGGACCACATGTCATCATTAGACCCGCCCATCATCATTAGACCCACCCATCATCATTAGACCCGCCCATGTCATTATTAGACCCACCCATCATCATTAGACCCGCCCATCATTAGACCCCCCCATCATCATTAGACCCGCCCATCATCATTAGACCCGCCCATCATCATTAGACCCGCTCATCATCATTAGACCCACCCATCATCATTAGACCCGCCCATGTCATTATTAGACCCACCCATCATCATTAGCCCCGCCCATCATTAGACCCACCCATCATCATTAGACCCGCCCATCATCATTAGACCCGCCCATCATCATTAGACCCGCTCATCATCATTAGACCCACCCATCATCATTAGACCCGCCGATCATCATTAGACCCACCCATCATCATTAGACCCACCCATCATCATTAGACCCGCCCATCATCATTAGACCCGCCCATGTCATCATTAGACTGATGACAGGTTATTGAAGCTACTTTGTTTAATAAATCAAATATGAATCAAACTAAAGGAAGGTACAGTCATGGCCAAGTCAAATATGCCTTACCTGTTTGAATGATGTTTTTATATTTCATTTTAAGTTTTTCAAGTGTGTTTTTCCCCTGTGAGATTGAACCTACATGAACATCAGATTTTATTCAAAGCCACTTTTTCACCTGTAAGCTACGATTTTAATTAAGTGTGGATAAATGTTAAATTAATGCTCTCAAGTTTTGATCTCAGTTCAGAGTGAGATTTTTGCTGGGTGGCAAAGGGGGGGGGGGCATCTTGGTTATTATAGTTTTTAAAGGACTTAAATTTCAAATAAGTCATCAACCATCTATATGTGCTTAAAATAGCTGCTGAAATTTTACAAGGATTCTTTTTTGATATTTTTTTGGGGGGCATTTTGCCTTAAACTGACAGGACAGTTAAGCGTGAAAGGGGGAGAGAGACAGAGGGAGTGACATGCAGCAAGGTGCCACAGGCCGGAGTCGAACCCAGGCCGCCTGGCAAAACCAACCTATATATGGGACGCTTGCTCTATCCACTGAGCCACCAGCATCCTGTCAAAGAGGATCCTGCTTGTTAAATTTCGCATGCTGCCTCTCTCTCCTTGGCAGCTTTAGTGCTGTTACTTTGTTTATGAAATATATGCTCATATTCACTGTAGGCATTCATGAGCACCTCCAATTCCACAGGTGTAAAATAAGTTGATCGCTTTTTCTCTCCGGTTGCCATGGTGACTTGAGGTATCGGGGCTCCATTGATGATGGCTTTTTATTGTGGTTGTGCATGTGCTTAACTCAAGACATAGTTGACTGAACGAATTCAAATCAGCTGTTCTGGAACCGGATACTCAGAGTTTCCCAGATCAGGGTAAGTCAAGTCAGAGTTCAGGATTAGACTCAGAGCTTGTTGAACCTCAGCTGTGTTTGTAATGTGTTTCAATAAAGCTGACATTGAAAAAACTCTGGTTGTGTATTTCTAACAACAAAATAAATGTATTGTTTCAAAAACTGAAATAAACAAAGAAACAAAAAGTTGATGATGTTTTTTTTTTATATAATTACGTTTATTTATTCTGAACCAAAACAACAAACAAACAACCAAAGAAACACAGATTTAATTTAATGTATTATTTATTATTTCCTGTGTGATGGAAGGGTCTCACCTGAGTCAGGAGGACTTCATATAGACAGAGACACAGAGAGGTTTACTGACAGATGGAGGAGGAGGAGCGGGGGGGGGGGGGGGGGGGGGGGGGGGGGGGGGGGGGGGAGAGAGGGAGGGAGGAGGAGCACAGGGGGAGGGAGGAAGAGCAGCAGGAGGAGATTAGGATGAAAAGATAGAAAAGAGTAGGAGGACTTAAAACAGAGAAGAAACACAGAGGAGGAGAACAGACGAAGAAGACAGGACAGAGGGACAGACAGAGCAGGACAGAGAGGAAGAGGAGGAAGAAGAAGAAGAAGAAGAAGAGGTTCAGTGTTTTATTGTCTGTTTAATCAGCTTATCAAGAATCAACCTGAAGACACTAAGTACAGAGAGACAGAGACACACAGAGAGACAGGTGAGTAACTCACTGAGAGACAGACAGGTGGATGTGGTTGAGTCTGATTTAAATGTTGACCTCGCATCAGTCTTTGTTTGATGGTTCATCAGTTCCAGTGTTTATTATTAATGTTATTATTATTATTGTTGTTTGTTGTTTGTTGCTGCTGATTACTGATGTTCATATGTAACTGATGTTAAACGTGTTACATGTCGGGGTGGTTTGTCTTCTTCTTCTGTGGTGTGAGACAGGACAGACTGTGCAGTGTTTCCTGTGTGTGACTCTGCAGAGAGAAGAAGAAATGTTTTAATATCAGAGTCCAAGTCTCTGAGTCTCAGTTTAATCATCTTCTTCAGACACAAACAAACAAACAAACAAACACAGGGACGGACACACTGAGGGACAGAGACACAATGAGGGACAGAGACACAATGAGGGACAGAGACAATGAGGGACAGACACACTGAGGGACAGAGACAAAATGAGGGACAGAGACACAATGAGGGACAGAGACAATGAGGGACAGACACACTGAGGGACAGACACACTGAGGGACACACACAATGAGGGACAGACACAATGAGGGACAGAGACACAATGAGGGACGGACACAGAGACACACAGACACACAGAGACACAGAGACACACTGAGGGACAGAGACACAATGAAGGACAGACACACTGAGGGACAGAGACACAATGATGTACAGAGACACAATGAGGGACGGACACAGAGACACACAGAGACACACTGAGAGACAGACACAGAGACACACTGAGACACACTGAGGGACAGACATAGAGACACAAAGAGAGAGACAAAGAGACACACTGAGGGACGGACACAGAGACACACAGAGACCCACGGAGACACATGGAGACACAGAGACACACGGAGACACACAGACACACAGACACACAGAGACACAGAGACACACAGAGACACACTAAGGGACGGACACAGAGGCACACAGAGACACACAGAGACACAGAGACACAAAGAGAGAGACAAAGAGACACACTGAGGGACGGACACAGAGACACACAGAGACCCACGGAGACACACAGACACACAGACACACAGAGACACAGAGACACACAGAGACACACAGAGACACAGAGACACACAGAGACACAGAGACACACAGAGACACACAGAGACAGAGACACACAGACACACAGAGACACACAGAGACACACAGAGACACAGAGACACACAGAGACACA